AAGGCCATATGTGCTAATTATGCAGCTTCGAACTCCTCAGATTCTCTATAAAAAAATATCACACATCTTGCACCTTCTCAAGCCCTTTGATTTGCTACCTGAAAACGCAAAGAATTAACATCAGCTAACTTTGTCAACCTTATTCATCAATACAGTGGTTCGAGAACAACTTTTCATTTATTAATCTTCTCTTAGATATTTTTGTTCATTGCAAAGAAATTTACAAATCAAATGTTACGTCCATGAAATTAGTTATACCTATAAGTATTTTCCCTATAGTAAACATTAATCCATCTAAGGATCTTAGACAAGCAATTTTAAATACAGGAGGAGAAAATGAAGCTCTTGCATACCAAATATTCAACCAGAATTGCACAACTTCAATCTGTGTGAGACAACTCAATACTCAAAACGAAATGAAGTTTCGAACCAATCAAGAAAGGAAGTACATTTTAGCAAAATCGGTAGGAAAATTATTCATTTCCCAAACTATGGTATTCATGTACAAAATCCACAGTGAAAACCAATATATTAAAAACTGATAAATAATGGAAGAAAAAGATTTAAAAGAAACTAACCACTGTAATTAACAAGAGTAGGTATTGCTATTCCTCACAAGAAAACCCCAAATGAGAGCCCAAAAGATCAAATATTTCAACACAAACAGCAAAACCCAGATCAGATTTTCAGCTAAGATTTGAATTCCAGGACAATAATCAACGGGATTAATAAGGTGCTGAAAATATTTTCTTGCTTCGTCCTCTCGCATCCGTCCTTGATTTACCTAAAGTGAGAAAACTCGAGCCATTCGTTATATACAGTTGAGAACACATTAAAGAAAAATCACTGCCCATTAAGGTTACCAGCCAGAGAGAGAAGGATAAAAACTAAGGTGAAGACATTAGCAGCCACTCAAGTCCACACCTCCTACAGGACATGAGTAGAGCCAAAGCATCCGTGTCTCCGTGCGAGACGTGTCTCCGTCTCCCACGCAGACGCCGCCGGTGTCTTCGTATTGGGCAATCAAAAGCAGCCACTCAAGTCCACAACTCCTACAGGACATGAGTAAAGCCAAAGCATCCGTGTCTCCGTGCGAGACGTGTCTCCGTCTCCCACGCAGACGCCGCCGGTGTCTTCGTATTGGGCAATCAAGATGAAGAAGACGATGGGTTTTCGGAGGACGAAATAGACGAATGGGGTTGGAGAAAGAAGGAGTGGTTGCGTGGGAAGAGGTAATAGAAGAGAGGGAATATCAGAAAGAAGGAATGGTTGCGTGAATTGAGTGAAGTGACTCTTTTAATATAGGTAGGACATTAATCAATTTTATTTTTTATTATTTACCAAAAATGGGGTTCAAACAAGAACACTTCCCAAAATAATAAATTAATCAAACTTTGACTGTCACACACCCCCATCAGGGCCATCATTGCGTACAACTCAATAACATAGTACATAAAATAAATAACTAAAATTAAAAACAGAAAAACAAATCAAGGCACGCGTTTCTCTCTCTGCTCGGTGATGGCGTTTTCATATATCTTGGCATCGACAAAACAATCGGAGTGAGCCACCGATAATCATCGGTGCCTGCTCCGTCTCCTCCTTAAGATTCTAATTCCATCGGTATATTTCCATTCTTCTGCTTTATGATGTTTTAATTAATTTTTCTCGGTTCATGTCTTTACCTGTCATGAAATGTATATTGTTTTTGTTTAAATTCGTTATTAAATTTTTGGGAGGATTTTTTCTGACTGGGAAATTGTAGATTTTGGTTTAATTTGTTGTTTGTCATTTGTTTTTGTTTGTAGAATTATTTTTTTCTTTGTTAGATCTCTGTGGATTTTTCTTCTGTTTTGTTTTTTATTATAGGTTTAATTTTATTAAGTTTTCTTCTCCGATTTTAATTCATCATTGCTTATGCTATCTGTAAGTTGTTTCTTTTTTGTGGGAATTTGAGTAATTTCTGGGCTATTATTTCTATTGTGGTTGTTGTTCTTGGTGTTACTCTTATTAGTAAAAAGAAGGCGTTGAGAAGACGCGCGCCAATTATTGCTGTTGGAATAAAATATTAGAGGAGATTGTTTGATAAATATTTTCATCATTGAACACCATATAATCACCCCACTAAATTCGAATTAGGAATAATAAAATTTTTGGGCAATAGTAAAATTACCCGCACCTAGGTGGGTGCTTTTTATTTATGAAAAATCTCCCCTCCATGCTCATTTTTCTTCTCTTGGTATATCTTTTACGAATGGTAGAACCTCTTTTTACAGTTGCTCTAAGAGACCAATGTTTATTCTACAATTGATGTGGGATTTTAAGAAAGTTAACTGGTAAAAGTAACTTGCATATTTTTGGTACATAATTTCCATTAAACCGTGTTTTAACAAATTCAGAATTCCCATGTCAATATGGAACGGAGAGACTAATAAAGTTTCGACTGCAGACTTTAAGGACATCAAAATGGACAGGGGTTAGTGCCTATAAGCGGTATAGAAAGATATTGGACATTTTTTTCAGCAAAACTCCAACACAGCCTCAATGGGTTTTTAGGTTTAAAATGATATTGGACACATGGGAATTAGTTCTATAAGCTGTTTTTGTGTTGTCTATGGGTTCGAGAATCAGGGTTGAAGATTGAATAACTATCACACTGGATAATGGTTGACCCAGAGAAAATTTTTCACGGCATGGAAAATGCTGAAATTAGAGAGAAACAAATGTAAAAGAAGAAACCAGGTGACATTCGTGCAATCCCACTGATATGAAACTGTGTCTTGAATGCTTCACATAATCTGAAAGAATTCAGAAGCTTTGTTAGTTGCTGAATTAACTCTCTTCAATGAACTGAAGGTATTGCATGATATTTATTGTATTTACAGTAGCCTACTCTATAAGGATATAGGATAATCATCCTTCAATCTGGTAGCCGACTAAGTTCTGTTTAAAAAAATGACTAATTTGATCCTACCCCCAAAGACAAGATCTAACTGGCCAAAACCATGAATTGATCCATTCTAAGGGTGTGTCAGAAATAGTTCGTAAATATAGCAGGAAAATGAGAACTAATGTTTGGCTTGAGCAAGTGGAAAATGGATTCTGGAAAAGTAGGATAATTTAATAGTGTGAGGATGACCAACTTGCCTCTTCTTGTAGTTTAGAACAGTGGTATAAAGAGAACTTGTTGCATAGGCTAACTTCATTGATATCCTTTCAACTCTGCAATATAGAATCTTGATAAGAAGTATCAATACAGAGTTAGTTGGAGTGTTGGTGTCCGACATGTATCGGACATTGACACGTGTCAGATATGTGCAGACAGGTGTGAGAAATTCCTAATGTCATATTCCTTTCTCGTTATTTTTTTATTTTTTTTGAATTGGACATGCCTTCGAGCCAAGAAATCCATTATTTAAAAAAAAAAAATCATAAGAAATTAACCCGAGTGGTTTGCGGAAGAGGAGACTGTGTTGGCAGGGAAAGTCGACAAAGGAAAAGGAATCGATGTTGGATAATGGAAGGAGGCGTGAAATTTAAATGATGGAGATCAGAGTAAAGTTGGCAACAGAAACAGGCCATAGGTACACCCTTACTTTTGGAAGAAAAATAAATGAATAATTGTGATTATTTTGATTGATTTTCTTGGATATCCCTATGTCCTTTCCGTAGTCATTAGTTTTGAATTAGGTAATTTCCATTCATCACAAGAGTTGTTAAGCATAAAGGCATAGTGTTTTTGTATTATACAGACTGTTGATTGTTGAATATTGAATTGATGTTGATTTTCTCCCTCAAATTCTCTCTTCTTCTTCCTGGTCTTTCATCTTCTATTTTTTTCCCTCTTATTCTTCTCTTCTATTCCCCTTCTTCTCTGTATTCTATTGTTCTACGTACTTTGCTGCGTAACTAGAGCATGGCCTTATACCCAAAGTGAATACGGACAGGACATCTATCATCAATTCACTTAATTATGGGAAGGGCTAGCCATTTGTAAAATGATTTCTGAATGGATGTGAAATAGAGGGTTCAAATTGGGTTTAAATTTTAATTGGACATGTGTTGAGGTGCTTCTGTTTAAGTTGAGTTTATTTCTGTAAATTAAAAATAATCTTTTTTCCTTTTCATTTGGCTCAAATTATTGTTTTGTATTTAATTCTAAAGACGAGTTGTTTTTTCATAAAGAATAAAGATAATACCAATTAAAAATCCGTTCTCATGTCCAATTTTGAAAAATATGTATTGTTGTGTCATGTTGTGTCCCAATCATGCATTGTTGTCCGAGCTTCTTAGGATTCTTGTGATAAGAAATCTGTTTTTGTTGGCTGCTATTTTATTTATTACTTCGATCAACTTCAGTTCAATCAGCAGTCCTTGTTGTTTTGACTATTTTTTGCCTTCTCTCCGTTTAATTTCTTATTTTGATTCTCTAATAGAGAGCTGCATTTATTTGATGACTGATGATCTTTGCTTCATCTTTATGTTATATTTCCCAAAAAGGTCTATCTTGTACTTCTTTTGTAGGACAAGATAAGGAGAAAATTCAAGCGTGCCTTTCTATGTTTTGAGTGTTATCTTTCCTAGGCACAGTTAATGTTATGTTTATGAGCTTTTTATAAAATTTAGCCGTGTCTTCCATTTCTTAGGCAGAGTAGGTGGTGTAAGATATTGACTATCTTCTTTTCTTTATATGAAGTTTAGTGATGTACGGAAAGCCCTTGCCATCTACCATGTAATTCTTTTCTGATTTTCTTTTTATGTTACAGATTTGTATAATCCAAAACTCCATTTAGTCATGCTATTCTTGACTTACTTTACACGACTTTTTGAAAACCACCAAACCGGTATTTAATAAATAGAGTGAAAGAAGTAGTTGTGAGTAAAAGAATAAGTTAATATACAGATCCAGTTTCTGAGCAGTTGACACTTGAGATAGTGGTGTTTGTTTCAGTAGGTGCCTGACTTACCGAGATAATATAACCAGCTAGTTGGTTTCACAAATGACTTCAGTGGGTGTAGCACCTACTTCTGGCTTGAGGAAATCCAGCAGCCATGCAGTGGGGGTTGATACATTGCCTGAGGAGATGAATGACATGAAAATCGGGGATGACAAGGTATGCACTTGGAAGGTGTTAAAACTGGCATTTTCTGGTAACATTTCCTTACAAGAATTCATAATTTCTTGAGTTTGATTATTCCTGCTTTGATTCGTGATGTTTGATATTGTAGGATATGGAAGCAACAGTTGTTGATGGTAATGGGACGGAGACAGGCCACATAATAGTAACAACTATTGGTGGTCGAAATGGCCAGCCAAAGCAGGTAAATTGCCATAGCTCGTCCTCATTTTTAGCTACCCCTAAGCTCTGTTGGCTTATGAGAATTTGTCATTTCTGCTCCTTAAACAATGATTATTGCACCAGCAAGTCGCAACAAAAGCAATATTCAATACAAGATTGTAACTTTCCATTATCTTAGAGAAGAAGGTAAAAGATATACCTTAAGATATAAATGAATGGCTAGTTGGAGTGGGCAGACTAATGATGATCGAGTGAGGCTTGCTTATATTTATAAATAGGGAATGGGCGGATGCTTCAACAGAAATGAAAGTTGTTGGGGGAAAATCTTAGGCTCTATAAGTGCATGGACGCGTGCATAAGTTCCAAAAGGGAAGGGGGAGGGGGCGAGCGGAGTGAGATATCTTAGGCTCAATAAGTGCATGGAAGCGTGCATAAGTTCCAAAAGGGAAGGGGGAGGGCACGAGCGGAGTGAGCCGTTTCAACCGAAAAAGTTGAAGGCACCAATCTAAAAAAATTATAGCGCTCCAAAAAATACTGGTCTTCAACCAATTTTACCGCAAAATTAACCCCAGTGTATGCGCACCTTTGTGATGTTCTGAATATTTGTAGGAGTCAAGCTATTCAATTAGTGGAGTTTATTATTAACAAAATTCTGCCCTAAACCTCCTTTCAGAATACTGGGTAAATGTCTATACGCCAAGTTTGAAATAGTTTGTCAAAATTCTGGTTCCAAAGAAAGAGATAGCTGATATCCTCCAAATGAATCTTTAGCGAGGCTAGCCAAGTGCAGGTTGTTATCTTAGGATTTAGGGCTGGCTTATTTGTATGAAATGGTAGGACGAGGTTTTGCAACCTGCACGAGAAAAGGAAATGGGATATGGCATTTGACCAAGTGAAAATTTCTTATAAGAAATTCTTCTCACATACAAACGTATCTTGGTTTCTCTCTCTATTCTGTCTTCATCAAGAAGTTCAATTAGATACCTGGTTCTTTTTTCTTTTTAAAAGATGAGGGAACTGATGTGTATAGGGCTTTTAGTATTGACTTATTTCCTCCTGTGATATGTTCCCACATGCTAAAACTTCATCTAAACATGGTTTATTTCATATTCCAAAATAGAAATCCTAACACCAACAACCAAACCTAGTTTAATTCCTATTTTATGTAGGAATATCCAAAACCAATTAAATTAGAATAAATCAATTCTCATCTCATTAAGATTATCTCATTCTTGTGTGGGGTATGGAAGATTAAATCATCATCTATCCAAATTAATAGCAACTGAGACCCGATAAAATTCACATCATGCAATCTTCAATTATTCCTGCTAGCAGTTTGATTGTGAATCCTGGAACCCATAGGAAAATTCTAGCTCCAAGAAAATATCATGATGCACACTACTATGTTTCTATTGCTGTTGATGAATTTCCTATTAATTACATATCATTCTGCTAAAGAAATATGACTTACCTTATGATCCTATACAAATTATAAAAGCAATGTAATCTTATCATGTCCTTGAGGAACTAATCATAATGAGTTGTCTTGCTGATTTTATTTCCATAATTTGGAGGTACTAATACTAGAAAAAATTTATATTACATCTTGACATTCCAGCCTTTTTTGAGTTATTGATCACAACCGTGTGTTCTCTGAGACACATCTATATTTAAATTCCAATCAATTGCAATAAATGTCTCAATAATAGATTCTAATCTCCTTTCATGAAAATTACCATGCTTATGGGTTCCATGATCACAACCATCAAATTGGCTTTAGGGATATCGTGTTTCTTCAAGAGATATCACGGTGTCTATATTGAGAATATATGTTTAATATCATAAAGACTTATCAACCAAGATATCGAAGGCATTGACCTCGATAAGGTCTCACTTGTTGATCTTTTTTATTCCGAAATAGAATACGAATGAGAGTCTAGGTATTCTCTTTCATCAAGAACATTACATAATATTTTTATTGAGTATTTGGACTTGTATAAGTTAAGATTCATTCAATGAGCATCCTTTATTTCATAGAAATTGAAGCAATATCCTTGCGTAGGGGGACCAACTATATACTTGACACATTCCTGCGATTTCGGCTGCTCTTGTTGAGGAAGATTTGAATGAGAAAGTTTGGCTTAAGCGAGCTGCTGAAAAAAGAGTTGGGATGGAATCTAAAGAGTCTGCCTTTGACCTTTCATCAACTACAAGATTGAAAGAGAGACCCCTCTTTTACTGACGGCTTCTATATTGGATCTTTGGTGCATTGTTGCATACAGTCGTAGTTACCATGTGTTGATTCAACTACATGAAGTTCCCCCTTTTGAGAAGTGAGGTCTCATCAATCACTTCAATGATTTGAGTCTATTATTCTCTGAAGATAAAAGACATACATAATATGGTAACTTGAATAAAACGCGTCCAAGGAAGTATTTACAGAAATGTTTTCTCATTGGGTCCTATTCGCTGTATTCCATGTGATGGAACACACTAGTATGTCAAACCTAAAATCTCATTTTAGGGACCAGGACAAGTGACCCCCATCCTATGGAGGTCGACATACTGCAATCTCTAGTGAGTTGCTCTAGCTCACCACCGACTTTGAACAAATTCTCCTTACATTTATTCTCTACAATGGGAACTAGATGGGTGAATGCTCATATCAAGAGCACAACAAAATACATGTATAGAGTGTGTATAAAGAATAATAAATCTCGTTCAAATTCAGTTTTTTACACACTGAGATGAGTACTAATTTCTAACAACCGTGCCCATTTATCCAAATGCTACTCTTCGTTTCTATGGGCAATCCTCATAGAGCCTTGGGGATTGCTTACAGGGAACAACTCTAGAAGTAAAAAAGAGAGGGTAATCTTTATATTGTGTTCCAGTGTGTCTGAATCCAGGAATTAAATTTTGACAGTTTTCTAATTGAACGAGTATTTCCCATAATCTTGCTTTTACAAATTCATCAACTAATTATCATCAATTTCAATAGTAAGAAAAAGTTCAATGCAATTTATCTTAGGTTTAGCTGTACCATTTGACTGGATATGTTATGCATGTATTTTTGGGATCTATGCTTCTTCGCCTTCATTCTTTTAAGTTTCTACCTACTGCTGTTGGCATCGATAATTTTTATGGTTTCATTTATTTGCCTTGACTAATTAATATGTTTTGATAATTCAGACAATCAGTTACATGGCCGAACGAGTTGTTGGTCACGGATCATTTGGAGTAGTGTTCCAGGTAAGTTCTTCTGTTGCTTTAACTTGGATTTCTTGGTGGTACCTGCTTATGTATTTGACATACTCACTCTGAGGACAATCATAAATATCATTGTTTGATCTTCATTATCTAGGCCAAATGCTTAGAGACAGGTGAAACAGTTGCGATAAAGAAAGTTCTTCAAGATAAGAGGTATAAGAACCGAGAGTTACAAACAATGCGTATTCTTGACCACCCAAATGTAGTGTCTTTGAAGCATTGCTTCTTCTCTACAACCGAAAAGGATGAACTATATCTTAACCTGGTCCTCGAGTATGTCCCTGAAACTGTTCATCGTGTTATCAAACACTACAATAAGCTGAACCAAAGGATGCTACTGATATATGTAAAGCTGTACACTTACCAGGTAATTTGTTGATACTTTCTGTGCCTCCTGCTTGTCCCATGGTTCTCAAAATAATCAAATTGTAAAAATTTATGACTTTTGTCGTGAGTGTAAAAACTTTCGTAGTTTTCTTCTTTAACTGAGAAGTTTGAGGGCATTTGTCATACTGTTATTCTGAGTAGTAGTATATATGTGAGCTCTGTTTGTAAGGTTTAATATTTTGCAGAATAAAACTGTTTCTATTTGGCAGATTTTCAGAGCGTTATCATATATCCATCGTGGTATTGGAGTGTGCCACAGGGACATCAAGCCTCAAAATTTGTTGGTATGATCAATATTAGCTTGCATGCTTCTATATTTTTTTCTTTTTCCATTTTTCATTTCTGGTTTCTCCTTTCTACATCTTAGGGAAAACTTGCCTAAAAACATGAGTATTGTTATTTATCTTTAACATGCTTTATATTATTCTCTTTCGTATTATCTGCTTACAATTCAAATGGGATGGTGTAAGTTGGCATAAAGTTTTAGGTGAATAGGAGGTGAAGGGAAGAGTTTTAGGTGAATAGAAAAAGTGGGCATTTGATGTAACTTCTCATTTTTACCTCAAAAACTTGTACCTAATAATTTTTGTTGGTCATGTCATGTACATCACATAAGAAATTTTTGAAAGGGAATAATTATTTGGATGTCTGAAAATGGAAATAAAACCAATCAATAATGGACCACGAGATTATTTAAGTTCTTAAGTTGGTACAAGAAAAGATGAACCAACACATGGCACTATGGCAGACATACTTTACAACGTGCCCACTATTCTTTTTTTATTATTATTTGGGTGTCTGAATCTGCTTCTTCATTATGGATATGCTTTATGTGCTGATATATGTGAGGAAATAGTTTTCTTGGCATTGCTAACTTCCTTCGCTGTTAAGTGTTATTTAACTCTATCAGTTAAAAGTGTTGAACTTAAAGTTGTTTTTCATCCATTTGTATGATATTCTGATATATAGATTATAATTATTGTTTATATAGTTATTTCACAGCTTTCTGTGGCATTTGGGAAACAAAATTCTTACTTTGAATTCAGTGTCATATATTTCATTCATCATTTTGAAACATGTGTACATATTACTTCTTAGTATTCCTCTCGCTTTAATTTGGAACGTTAACGTTTTTCTGTTGGTTTTTCCCATTAAGTACCCTTTTCAATTTGTTCAAATGTTTCTAAGTTTTCTTTCAAGATAATTATTTGATGACCTTTTGCAGGTGAATCCACATACGCACCAGGTTAAATTGTGTGATTTTGGAAGTGCCAAAGTTTTGGTATGTGAAATGCTTTTATAATGATATAGTTTCTTTCATGCAAATAAGATGTTTGACAATTTAATTCCGATTTTTGGCAGGTCAAAGGGGAGCCCAATATCTCTTATATCTGCTCTAGGTATTATAGAGCACCTGAACTTATTTTTGGAGCGACAGAGTACACTACAGCTATTGACATTTGGTCTGTTGGCTGTGTGCTTGCTGAGCTAATCCTGGGACAGGTAGTTGGCTGATTTCTCATTGCACATAATAGGTAATAGGTCCTTTATACGGCTATAAAAGGATTGTACTATTTGAGCTATTGTTGGATTTTGCTTTTCAGCCTCTGTTTCCTGGTGAGAGTGGAGTGGACCAGCTTGTGGAGATTATTAAGGTGCTCTCTTGCCAATGCACTTTCTGATATTATAATGTTTTGCTGCTTCTGTTTTGTTTGTGCATTGTTGCTGTTGTGTCTTCTGTTATTTTTATTTATTCATTATTATTATTATTTTTGTGGAGGGCCCTATAAAGTTCATCTGTGAGCCTGTTTGACTGAAGAAGAGAAGGGCTCTGTATATATGCATACAGTTCTTTGAAAAGTTTGACATGTCTTTGGTAATTGCAACTAGAAAGATGATTTATTATTTGATGGAGTGACCTTTGGCGTGCTACAGTTTAAGTTCTTGCGTATTTTAAATTAAATCTCTTATAATGTTTGCCTGTTTACATTAATCTGGACTAAACTTCTAGGTTTGTTCAAATGTTCATCTGTATATATCATTCTGTGAACAGATTCAAAGTTTTTGGTAGTTGTAACGAAAAAATATGCTTTATTCTTTGACAGATGTTGAATACAGCCTTTAAAGGAATACAAATGACTCCTCTCTAATAGCTTAAGCTTTTATATGACTAGTTAACCATTGTTTAACATGGTATGTTACTCTTTTGTAAGTCCATAACCAAACTATATCATTCAGGTTTTGGGTACTCCAACCAGGGAAGAAATAAAATGCATGAATCCTAACTATACTGAGTTCAAATTTCCACAAATCAAAGCTCATCCTTGGCACAAGGTACTTGTGATTTTAGGTATTCATGCTAAATTTCTCTTCTAGATTTTTCCTTTTTCTTTGTTCGTCATTTCCGGTACAGAGTGGTGATAACTGACCCCAAATTTATTGGGAACAAAGCTTTGTGTTATTGCTGTTTCATTCACCCTATTATTCCTTACTTTGCTTTGCATCAGATATTCCATAAACGCATGCCTCCGGAAGCTGTTGATCTTGTTTCGAGACTGCTGCAGTACTCTCCTAATTTACGTTGCACAGCTGTGAGTATATGAAATTCTTCCTTTTTCCTTTTAACAAAATTCTCTTTCTATGCTCTTTTATTTCAGCAAGTTATTCCTTAGGTTGCTCCATTACTGAGCATGGACTAGATTGATGGTGACTCGATCATTTTATGTGAAAAATGTAGTTATTTTGTTGGACGGATTGTCTTGCCCACTTCTCTCTCAGTCTATCGTATCCAGGAATGAATTTATGCACATGATTAAAATGGATGGACTCTGGTATTTTATGTAGTTGGATTCTTGAGATTTTATGCCTCATTTTGTAGGAAAATTCCTCCCACGATGCAGTTACCTTTAAGTATTTGTGTTCTGGAGAACTGACATTTTCGTACTTTCCAACTTCTCGTTGGAACTGGAATTAAAGAATTCACGTGGTCGTTGAATAGACTTTCTAAAAGCCCACTAATTTAGGATCTAATTGACTTAGTAATCTAAATTTGATTCTTCTGTGCCTACGCAACTAGTCTAGGTATTGCTGAAATAGTACCCATATCTGAAGCTGAATGGAACCATGAATTCGACTTTTTCACATTTACATTCTCAAATTGTTGGTGCCTCTATTTCTCTACATCGTTTGCTGTAAGTTGCAATTTGGATTCTCTTTCATTGCAGCTGGATGCCTTGACTCATCCGTTTTTCGATGAGCTACGCGATCCAAACACACGCCTCCCAAATGGACGTTTCCTTCCTCCATTGTTCAATTTTAAACCTCTTGGTATGAAGTTTTTGGATGATTCTATCTCACATTGTCTAATCCAGATAATTGTTGTATTTTTGTTCAAGTTACTGTACTCTTATTTTCCAGAGTTGAAGGGCGTACCAGTTGAGACCCTGCTGAAGTTAATTCCCGAGCATGCCAGAAAGCAATTCCCCTTCCTGGGGTTATGAACCCTCAAAATTTGGAACAAAACATCATGTCTCATATGCACGCCACCTGTTTGTTTTCTCCTGTTCTCCTTGTGTAGTTGGTTTGTATCTCCTTTGTTATAAAAGATTTAGGTAAGTGCTATGGACTAGGTGACCAGACCATAACGCGTATTATGTGTATCCTGTTTCTTTATCACCTACAGCTTTTGACAATATGTTGATAAAGGATGAATTTCTGTCTGATGAACTGTTTGATGTTCGACTTTCAAGTTTCCCCATCTCCAAAGGATTCACATGTCCCTTTTCTATTTTCTGGTAGCATCCTCAAAAATTGTTGCGTGTTGGAATTGGAAACTGATGTTATATAGAGCCTGTTGGAGCCCCATTTTTGGTTGAGGCCCTGTTTGAACCACCTTTTTGTAGAATGAAAATGAAAAATATAATTGTTATTGGGGTCCACACAAGAGATATAAAATTTGAATTTAAATGTTGATGTGATGGATAACGGCCATATTTTTCATTTTAATGAGATAAAAAGGTGGCCCGGGGCTAAGAATGCATTTTGGAATACTAGATTTATGGAGAATGTATAATCAAAATTAAGGAAAAGTTTTGGGTGCGCGTGTAATATATTGCTAAGAGTCTAAGAGAGCGACTATATTGAAGAATGCGTGGTCTAATTTACGAGAGAATATGTATTTTGAAAATAATGAGGATCAAATAAGGGTATAATGTAACCGTTGTGATATATTTACAGACACATGATGTTGTGAGATATGCTTTGGTCATAATTTCTTCGATCTAAAAAAAATAAAAATTCTCCACTTTTTTTGATACCTTGTCTATCTGTAAAACTTTTCGTGACTTCTTATGTACGCGTTGCATTGATTCACTGTTATGTATAATGAAATGTAGCCTCATTGACTGCTTGATGATCTATGGCAAAACCCTGTTGCATCACTATTTACTCCAAAATGTAGCTGAAAATAAAATATCGAGACAATGAAGAAACTCAGTGAATTAGGAAAGATAATGACGTTTCATCATTTGAGATTCAAATTGTCCAGAGTTGAGAAGCAAGGGTTATGGGGAAAAATTCATGCCTTGGCTTTATGAGGGACTTGTTGTCAATTCTTTCAACCCAAACTCCTTTAGTTACATCTACTGAGGGCCCGTTGTGCATTGCTTTTGATTTTGTTTTTACTTTTTGTAGAAGAGCTTTTGGGATAAGTTACTTTAATTTTTATTGGGAAACAAAATTTTAAATAAGTGCTTTTGACTTTTTGAAAATCAGGCCAAACAGATCCTTACTACGGTCATCGAAAGATTCAATGGATTATTGTTATTGGAGAAAGGCTTGATCGAAATTTCCAGTAGCATTCATGTGTTGTTTGTACAAATATCAAGTTGTTCTGGAAGTATTTAAAAAAAAAATCCTTTTTTTTAGTGATTGAAGTAAATTGACATTACATTCCAATTTCACGGTAATTTTTAAATGTCAATGTGGACTGATCAGCATCAATTATAGCTCTTGTTTGGTATTCATTTTAATTTTAATTTTAATATATTTTTCTTTTTATAATCACATATAAAATAATATTACACATAAATCCATTAACCACATATTTTTTGTTAAAAAAAATTAATATTCCAAAATATATTTTTCCCAAAAAAATAAATAGGGGCATAATTTATTATATACTACAAATTTTAATTTCATTTAAATATTTATTCATTTTCTATTTGGGAGTCATGTTTCTCGGGCGTAAAGATATAACTTTTTAATCGTTATTATTATTATTGTTATAAATAAAAATATTATTATTTTAACATTTTAAAATCTTATAAAAGAAATTAAGAAATTGCTTTTAAAAGCATTTGAACAATATTCTAGAAGTGTTTTGTTCGCTGAAAGTATGTTTAAAAGAAGTTGACAGAATGTAATTTCATAATAAGAGCGTGTGCGGTAGAGATTAAAATTGGATTAAAATTGAAAAATTAGCCGTTATTGTTAACTTTTATTAGACGAGTGAAATTCAATAACGGCTATATTTTCAATTTTAATTAGATTTTCTCTTCTACAGTGAGCGCTGCAGCAAAAATAGAAATTTGCAAAATCGGCCCCATAAGATTTTTTCTCTTTTAAATTTCACTTTTTTTTTACTTTAAATTTTGAGATTAAAGTAAAGTAGTATCTTGTATTAACTTTTTTAGAGTATGTTTGACTAAACTTAAAATCCAATTAAAATTGAAAATATAGTCGTTATTGCTCACTAGTCTAATAAAAGTTAACAATAATGACTAATTTTTTAATTTTAATCTGATTTTAATTTCTACCGAACGCGCCCTTAAAGTTCTAATTGCACTAACAATACTTCTCCGGTTTAAAGTCATAAAAAGGTCTTAAATTATTATTATCGAGCAAATTCTCAGGTTTTATAATAGCCATAGTTTAATAACTTTTAAAAACTTTGTGGCTGCACGTTAAAATGCTTTTAATTATGCATTTATTTGAGGCCATGGGATTGTACCTATAATTTAGCAGCCGCCATCAAGTCGCCGCATACCACATGATTCACATGTAACCTTAGGTATGGACCACCCATAATTAAAATCAAGGGTATTCATCTTTAGTGGGATTACAAAGACAGTCTAAATGGTCTTAAATAATATGTTAAATGAAATGTGAAATTAAATGATCATTTAATGTCACATTAACGTCACTTAAACTGTGTTTGTAATTCCAACGGAGCTAAATAGCATTACTCTTTTTATTATTATCAACACAGGGAAAACCGATTAATTTCTTTCATTATTATAGATGATAGTTTACCATATTGATCCTTTATCAATTGACTTTCAATTTTATCTCATGTTATTATAAGTCGAATTTGTTTATTTCATAAAACTTCAACTTAAATCCATAGGTACGACACTCCATACAGATAACCATCATTTACAGTCCGACTCAACTACACGTGCAAAGCACGAGGCAAAACTAGTCCTATCATAATATTCAATCGCATTTATGTTTACACCTACACCGTTGACAAATAATGCCGATGCTGCAACATTATTTTAAAAGAGTGGACCATACGAGTGTGACTCTACTCTCATCTATACGAGTGATGATACCGTATTATTCAAAATAATTATTGCGGTGTGAATAAGTCAACTTAAAGCCTGTTTGAACCCCTATTTTCTGAACAAAATGCATTTTGGAAAAAATATTTTGATGGAAAATGTATAGTTAAAAAATAAGTAAATATTTTTTATTTGCGTTTAATATTATTTTTTTAAATTATATAGTTGAAAATAAGAAAAATAAAAATTATAGTGAAAATAATGGGAAGGGCATAATAGTCACTATCTAATTGCCTTTTTTTTATTCCTTAGCCCCATTAATGTCCGTCTTGAAAGTAATCACGTGGCTGAGTCGGCATTCCGCAAAGGATATATACCCCGCCCTTCCAACCCTTTCTCGCTCTCCCAAAATGGATGGTGAGAGAAAGAAGAGAAAGATGGAGAACATGGAAAACGAAGAAGAAAAGATGGAATCGTTCTTCGCTTTAGTCAAAAGCATACGTGATATTCGTCAAAGTATGATGAACGTTCGAGATCAATCGAACAAGAAAGACGGTGTAAAACTAATTGATGATAAGCCGCCGCCGTCGCCGGTGGTGGCTTGGAATCCGTCGTTTCAACCAGAAGATTTCATGGATGATCCGCAGAAAATGCCTCTTAATTATACGGCTCAGTTAGCTGCCGGCGGCACTTCAAAGCAGGAGAAGGAGGAAGAGCCTCAGGATGAAGATCAAGGTAGGGACATGGGAATGGGATTGGATCTCAATCTTTCTCTATAGTGGAATCCTACTAATTAATTGGCATTGGATTTTGCAATAAGTGTACTCCTTGACAATTTTTTTTAGTGATCTATCTATATATATACTAGTCCATGCCAGTGCAATCCACGGGCTGTGTTATCTCGATGGTAATGTTAACGTCCTTAGAAAATAAATTTCTATCTTTTTTCCGGTGACTTCTTCTTAAACCTTTTATGCATAACATAACATTTTTTCACGTGCTTGCATCTCCGAAGTTAAGAATTGTCAATACTCAACTTTATTATCAAACATTATGAAAATAGGATATAATCGCGAAAGGACCTAATTTTTATTGGCAACAGAAGTTGTAATCTTGGATGACAAAAATCAATATTCACCTAGTGATCATCATGTATAATATTCTTTATACATTATTATCTGCCTAAAGTGAAGAAGAAACCTTGCAGTCCATCCCTCAATTTCCTGGACACCAATATCAAAGTGAGGGCTGATGACTTCACATTTGTTCAACCACAATTTTACCAGATCGGTGATAATCGACGCACTCAAACTCTCCAATGTATCCTATAAAGAATTAAGGGTATAGATAGAATCTCGCATGAGTAAATGGACGAAATGATGCCACATAATGTTTTTTATACCATGATTTTGCATCACGAAGAGAAACGTAATAATGACTTTGGAGGATGGTTGAATCATGACCTGACGCTTCCCTCTCATCTCTTCATTGACGCTCTTAAGATAGTTGCTAAAACCATCCGATTAAAAAAAAAATAAAAAAAATTAACAGTCGTACATAATGCATTATTTGTGTCCACATATGTATCCCTTCGAGCTTTTTTCAGTCTCTTAAAATTCTTGCTCTCCTAATCAGTTTTAACAAAGCAAAAATAATTAAAAAATACGGATTTAATAGAATCACCAACTGCAAATTTCACAAAAACCACCAAAGAATGCACACACACACAAGTTATAAAACATATCTTCTCTTAAACTAAAAAACACAAGAAACTTTAAAAAGAAAAAAAAACTTAAGACATATCATCAACAGCAGTAGGATCCCAAGATCATTAGCCATCGACTATATAAAAACTAATAATGCAGTACGTCATTTTTAGCATTGGCCCAAACTGTCTTCCCCTAATTATAATACGTATAAGTAAATGAAGAAAAAAC